TTTGGGTCGACAGTGCGCCCAACATGCCAAATCATATGTGCCGGCGTGGCTGACTGGTCGCCCTATTTTAACAAATAGTTCATTTTTTGCATTGTTTCACACACAACGGTTGCATTCAAACATATAGTCCAAAACCAAATAAATAACATAGTTTCAACTCAATAAAATAGTATAGTTTTACAAGCCGAATAAAAGTAAAAATGTCTCACATAGTTTTACAAGCTGAATAAAAAAGATACATCTATTGGTTCCCTCTCACATAGTTTTGCAAGCCGAATAAAAAGATACATCTATTGGTTGCCAACATGAGCCCATATATGCTCAACCAAATCATTTTGCAGTTGCACGTGAGTTTCCCAAACACGCATGTCATGATAAAATTGGGTGAACTGTTCAAATGTTGCTGCTCCTCCATGCTCAGGCACAACATTCTCACATTCAAACCGAAACCGTTGATCGTACAAACGTTCCGAGCGCTCATCTTCTACGATCATATTATGGATGATCACACAAGCAGTCATCACCTCCCATAGTTTCTGTGAGCTCCAAGTATTAGTAGGATACCAACGACGCCCCATCGAGATTGCAAAATACCAATGGCACGCTCGACGTCCTTCCTAGCACTCTCTTGCTCTTGGGCAAATCTTTTCCTCTTCTCTTCGACAGGGTTGGGGATTGTCTTCACAATAGTGATCCACTGAGGATAGATACCGTCACCCAGGTAGTATCCTTTGTCATACTTGTGGCCGTTGATAGTAAAGCTCACCGGTGGGCTGTTGCCTTCGACAACCCTAGCAAACACCAGCGAGCGCTGAAGCACGTTGATATCATTGTGTGATCCGGTCATGCCAAAGAAAGAGTGCCAGATCCAGAGATCTTGAGACGCCACGACCTCTTATATGACAGTGCAAGCCCTGACATGGCCCTTATACTGCCCTTGTCAAGTAGAAGGGCATTTCTTTCACTCACAATGCATGCAGTCTATTCTGTCAAGCATCCCTGGGAAGCCCCTGCTGGCATTCATAGCCAACAAATGGGTTGTATCTTCTGTAGTTGGCTCTCTCATGTACTCAGGACCAAACACAACAATAACAGCCTTGTAGAACTTATACCGAGAGTCTAAGCATGTAGAATCGCTCATACGGACGTATTCGTCAATAAGATCACCGAACACTCCGTATGCAAGCATTCGGATGGCGGCAGTGCATTTCTTATAAGAGGAGAAAACAATATTTCCAAGGGCATCCTCTTTGCACTCGAAATAGTCATCATAGCCGACCACCCCCTCTCTAATACGGTTATGAAGATGCCTGCTCATACGGAAACAGCGGCGGAATTTCTGATGTTTGGACAACGGAATTGTTGTCTCAAATTAGTCCTTCCAAAGAAGAAAATGTCCGCTCTCTCGGTTGTGATTCAACATCGGAAGGTGGTCCAAAATGGAGCCACAGAACGCCGGACGCTGGCTATGGAGGTGGTGATAGGACCTACCCGACAGCCAATATCTCCTCCTCGTCATCGGACGACGAATCGTCGGAGTCGCAAAGGAAATTATGAAAGAAGAACTCATCGGCGGAGTCCATTTTGTACCTTGGCAAACTGTTGAACAACTTGCGGGCGTTGATGAAGGAGACGGCCGACGAAGGGAGTCACGGCGCGCACGGACCAGCTAGCTGCCCCGCCGACGTCCGATGAGCGTGCCAGCGTCCGACGAGTGTGCCAGTGAGGATCTGGCCGGGGCGGCGAGGCGGCTTCTTGATCGCGGTCGCGGCTGTGTCGGAGAAGCAGGGGTGGGAAGCTTTCGGTTCCCCGGCAGCAAGATGGCGGTGGCGGGCGGCGTGGGAGGTGGCGACGTTGCGGAGGGGATGTTGCGGCGCCGGCGGCTGGCAGAGTCACCGGAAAAAATGGGCGGCGGCGGCGGCGACGACGATGCAGGCGGGCGAGGGTTTGGTGTTGGATTGGGAGAGGTTAATGTGGCACCGACCAGCGGGCCAGAGGAGACGAGAAGGCGAGCGCGCGCACGTTCGTCTCGTGTCCGCGCTGACGCAATCCGGCTAAAAAATGGGCCGGGAATGGGTTGCCCGCGGACGACAAGCGGACGCACGTCCGTTTGGATCGATACGTTGGGTCGACTTTTGTGTCCGCGTCGTCCCAAACAAACGCCCGCGAACGAAATGGGTCGCCTCCTTGGAGTTGCTCTAACGAGCCAGACTTGTTGAAGTTTGACCAAGTCAGTTGAAAAACATATTAACATTTATAAAACCAAATTAGTCTCATCAGATATTTTATGAAATATATTTTTTGGTGTTGTAGGTCTTAGCTTTTTTTCATATATATACAATGTTGGTCAAGTTCAAGCAGATTTGACTTAGAATAAATTTAAACTTCAATTATGTTGGAATGGAGGGAGTACATGCCAACCGGAATCAGTTTTTTTTTTTTTTGGCGGAAGTTAATAACATGGCAATGGAAATTTACCTTGCTTGCTCCTTCAGCCTCCTCCTTCAGCAGCAGTTCACCACTGTATCAACCAAGAAGAGAAGAGGCAGCAGCAAGCATGACGAGAAGAGAAGGAACAACACAAGGAGCAGGCAGCAGCGGTAGCGTCCAGATTAAATGCAACGGCAAGCAGGCAGCGTGGCGTGCAGGGGATTGCGACTGTTTGGCTTCCACGTAGGTCACTTTGGTTGCGAGGGTTATTGTGGTCCAAAGCAGCTTAGGCGCACTACATTTCGAAATCCAGCCTAAAAACACTATACGCATTAGAATATGGAATGGAGGGAGTATTAAACTCCGCACATGTGCTCGTATTCTTTTGAATTTATTAAGGTCTTTCCATCGACCAGAGATGATGCTCGACTACAAATTATCTACGGTGACCTTATCAATCTTAAAACTTGTCGGCTCAGACTATTAAAAGTGCTCATATATGTTAAATGTGCATACTTACATTTATGGAGGTGATGCCAACTCCAACCTATCGACACAAACGATTATAGTTTTTGTCTACTTTTAATTCGTCTAGGTCATCCGGAGTGTCCGGTTTGTCTCTGGGGCGTCGGTGCGCCCAACGCGGCCGACGTATTTGGTCGGCACGACAACTAGAAACAAAACTAATTAGGCATAAAACATTTAAATAAAGAGATGCATACTAAAACGCCAGTCAAAGTCCACTTAGTAATTAAAACATTAGTCCAAACTAAAAAATTAACTCGTAGCCACTCGCCTCCCCCAGCCCGTAGCACTAGGTGTCGTCGCCCACCATGGTCAGGTTGACGAACTCCGACAACGTCGCCCTTGGGATCACTTGCTGGTAGGCCTCCTGCGCCACAACCTCCGGTGTCTGCTGTTGCGCTGCCTGGCACCGCCGCCGCCCCCTATTCCTGCTCGCATCTCTCGGCCTCCTCCTTGCGCTCCCACTGCATCCGATGCTCCGCCTTCGTCGCTCCGCTGCTAGCGCGCGTACCTCCAACTCATGGATGTGGTGCAACTCCTCCTCCTCCGACGCGTATGCGGAGTCCCGCCGTTGCTCCGGCGAGAGGAGGGCACGGTGGTTGCGGATCTCTAGTGCTCGCGCGCTCGAACTGCGGTACTGTCGACATCAAAACGCGATTGAGGTCGAGGTGCTAGTTGTGCGGGAGGTTCACGTCCGGCCAGGGCATTGGGACGCGGTGCTCCCAGTGGTAGTGCACATGGTTCACCGAGAATGTGTAGCCAGGCGTGTTGGCGTGCCCCTCCCCTCCCCCCCTATTCCTGCTCGC